GGGGGGGGGGAGGTTTAAATTCACAGAGGCACGTTGGTGCCTTGGAAGGCCATACCTCCATGAAAAGTGATGTTCCAGAGGAATATCTGGTGACACGATGTGTAAAAACCAGTTACCCATGAGTAGCATAGAAACTATCTAATTTCATTAAAAGTTGAGAGAGATTGGGCTGGGATCGTGACTCAGTGGTAGAGTGCTCGCCTAGCATGCATGGGGCACTGGGTTCGATCCTCAGCACCCATAAATGTAAAATAAGGATATTGTGTCCATCTAAAACTAAAAAAAATAATAATAATAAGTATTTTTTTAAAAATTGAGAGAGACAAAGATACTACAATATGAAATACACCAAAATATTAATGTCAACTATTTGATGCTGTTTAGGACTTCCTAAATTTTTTTGCAATCAAATGAGTATCTCAGATTGATTTTCATTTTCTTTCCAGTTTATATAGTTTTACAAACACTAGGTGGAATTTGATTCAACTTTTCCAAGTTAGAAATGGTGGAATTAGGGGCTGGGGACATAGCTCAGTTGGTAGAGTGCTTGCTTCATATGCACAAGGCCCTGGGTCCAATCCCTGGCACCACAAAAAAAAAAGAAAGAAAGAAAGAAAGAAAAACAGAAATGGAAAATTATTAAGGAATTATTAAGTAGGGCACAGTGGCACATGTTTGTAATCCGAGCAACTCTAGAGGCTAAGGCAGGAGGATTGCAAATTCCAGGCCAGCCTCAGCTATTTAGCAAAGCCCTAAGCAAATTAGTGAGACCCTGTCTCAAAATTAAAAAAGGGCTGGGGATGTAGTTCAGTGGTGAAGTGCCCCTGGGTTCCATTCCCAGTACCCCCCAAAATATATAAAAATAATGAGGGGCTGGGTTATGGCTCAGCAGTGGAGTGCTTGCCTCGCACATGCGGGGCCCTGGGTTCCATCCTCAGCACCACATAAAAATAAATAAAGGTAGAGTGTCCAACTACAACTAAAAAATAAATTTTAAAAAATAATGAAAATTGGTTGATTTTAAAAATAATAAAAGAAAAAATTTAAAGGGCCAGGAATATAGTGCTTGCCTAGCATGCATGAAGCCCTGGATTCCATCCAAAGTATCACCAAAGAAAAGAAAATAGAAAGAAATGGTGAATCATGAAATTTCCTAACTTCCAGTAACTAGGATGAGACCATCCACTGCATGTTTCCTCTTTGCACAGTGCCCGGCACGCACTCCTAAGCATCTTCCGCTTGGCCGCACCATCCCACTCAGGAGAGAGCACCATGTGGACCTCAGGAGCACCCTAACCACCTATCCATCCAGAAAAGAGCTCATAGCTGCCTCTTGTGTGTGGTTCTTTGCTGTGTGAGGTATTGAAAGCAGAGCACCATCTCTCTGGGAATTTCCAGTCTAAAATAAGTTGCAGAAACAGACAGTGAGATTGGCGGCATGGCAAATTGTACTCATCCGTGTTTACATGAAGGATAAACAAGGGGGGGGAGGGGGGAGGGGCACAGTCCCTCCTGAAGCCACATGTCGAGAGCCCCTGGCCTTCAAGGCTGAGCCACAACCAGAGGGAAGCCACCCTGACTTAGTCCAGGAACTTGCAAAAATCTTAAACAATGGCTTCTGGAGATTAAGCAATCTTTAAATGCTTCCATTTACAGGGTGACAGCACAGGGAGGTTGTCACCTGGGCTAATCAACTTGTGAGTTGAGGAGATAAGACTCTCCCAGATAACAAGGGGCCAGAGAGTCTGCCCCCGGAGCATTCTTGTGTCCCAAAGCTACTTGGAGGGCTCACCATCTGGGGCAGATACTACTACCACTGACGAGGGCTCTGAATGCACACCTTGAGGACCCCGATGGATGAGGAGACATCTTCTTCTGACACCACCCCCCACCCCACCTCCAGCAACCAGGAGGCCCATCCACAGAGTCCTGCCCATTCTCCTGCCCCCACCCACCACCTTCTCGTTATTCCAGCTACGCCTTCCCAAACAGGAGGTACCCGGGTGAGAAGGAGAGGTTGATGGGACGGATGACAGATACTTTGAGTTCCCAAACGGAAAAGGAAACCCATTCATTGAAGCAGATTTGACGTCAGGAGTGATAGGCTACTGCCCCAAGAGCAGGCTGCTCTCCCAGGCAGGAGGCTCAGGAGGTCCTGAACCCAGGGACCCTGCCTCGCTGTCTGTGATTCACTCCCTGGACAGAAAGTCATGTCAAGACCAGAGGAAGGCACCCCCGAACACTTGTTGTGAGCAGGGTATCTCCCCAACACAGGGCTGCTAGCAATTCCAGAGGAAGGAAGATCAAGTGCCAGGGAACTCACCAGTGGGGGCAGCATGCCACAGGAGGGGTAAGTTTTCGCTAACACCCATCTGAGTGAGTTTGATAGTAACTCTTCCCGCCAGGATCAAGTTGTGGCACAACAGCTCTGATGCGCCATGAAAATGTAGAAAATGGCCTGTGTTTTCTCTTTCTCTTTATTTCTTGTTCTACTGAGACCTCTCTAGCATTGCTTGACCTTTCTGTGTTATTAGACCAACTTGATGAATCCTTCTCTAAGCTTCTTTTTCAGCTGGGCACAAATGCCCTCTTCTGTAATCCCAGCAACTCTCAGGAGGCTGAGGCAGGAGGATCACAGGTTCAAGGCCAGCATCAGCAAATTAACAAGGCCCTGAGTAATTTAGCAAGACCCTATCGCAAAATACAACATAAAAGGCTGGGGCTGCTGGGCACAGAAGTGCACGTTTATAGTCCCAGCAGCTCAGGAGGCCGAGGCTAGGGAGGCACTTAGCAATTCAGCGAGACTCTATCCCTAAATAATATATATATATATATAAAGGGTAGGGATGTGGCTCAGTGCCCCTGGGTTCAATCTCCAGTACCAAAAAAAAAAAAAATGCCCACTATTCCAATGTGTAATCAAGTGTAGGAATCCCTGATTTATAGAACAATGTTGCTTGTTATTAGCACTTTTAAACTAAGAGACATGTCTATATATTTTTGTAGTACCAAGATGATGAGGGGGCAGGTGAGGTGAACAGGAGGGGCTTGGTATTGGAGGTTGACCAGGTGTCTTTCTCTCCCCGCCCCCCAGTATTGAGACTGAGCCCAAGACATTGTGTCTGTGAGGCAAACACTCCACCACTGAGCTATACCTCCAGCCCTTTTTTATTCTGATACAGGGTCTCACTAAGTTGCCTAGGCTGGCCTTGATAGGTGCCTCTTTTTAATAACCTAGTGTGCGAGTGCGTGTGCGTACAAACATGCACATGCACGCGCGCACACACACAGAGGGGCTGTAGCTCTGTGGTGAGCACGCGGCGCCTAGTACATATAAGGCACTGTCCCATCTCCAGCACTGCCAAAATAATAAGGGGGAAGAAGAAGCAGAGCAGCCCCCATCCCGCCCGCCTGCCTCCAGGAACAGAGCCCTCGAGGTCAATGCAACCCAGGGCTCACCTGCTGTTGGGCACCACACATGGGCTGAAGCCTGCCTGGGGCCACTGCCGCCTCTCCTCCATCCCTCCCTTGGTCAGTGCTGGCCTGGCCTTCTTTCTTTATTTATTTATTTATATTTTTGGTATCGGGGATTGAACTCAGGGGCACTCGACCACTGAACCACATCCCCAGCCCTGTTTTGTATTCGATTTAAAGACAGTTGCTTAGTGCCTCGCTCTTGCTGAGGCTGGCTTTGAACTCATAACTCACCTGTCTTAGCCTCCCAGGCAGCTGGGGTTGCAGATGTGCGCACTGCGCCGGGCCCTCCTGGCCTTCTCTTGCTACCTCAAACTCCACAGGATCTTTATTTACGTCTGTCCTTCCCCTTTGCTCAGGAGTACCCTTCCCCAGCTCTTCTCATTCTTCTGAGTTCTAGAACAATGCCACCTGCCCCTACAAAGGTCTTCCATTTCTCTCCCTCCCTCTCTCAGCCACATCCCCAGTTCTTTGGGTTTTATTTTGAGACAGTATCTCACTAAGATGCTTAGGCCCTCCCTAAGTTCCTGAGGCTGGCCTTGAACTTGCGATCCTCCTGTCTCAGCCTCCCCAGCCACTGGGACCAGTCACCATGCATTTCTTTCTTTCTTTCTTTCTTTCTTTTTTCTTAGTACATTTCTTTTCTTTTCTTTTCTTTTTTTTTTGAGAATTTTAATATTTATTTTTTCGTTTTCGGCGGACACAACATTTGTTGGTATGTGGTGCTGAGGATGGAACCCAGGCCGCACGCATGCCAGGCGAGCGCGCTACTGCTTGAGCCACATCCCCAGCCCCACCATGCATTTCTTAAAGGGCCCAGTAGAAAATATTTTACACTCTTTAGGCCAGAAGGACTACCAACTCTGTAAAAGCAGCCACGAACCTGGCTGCATTCATTATAACACTGGATTCACAAAAGCAGTCTGCTCACCTTGCAGCTGTTACCGCATACCTGACATGGGCCCTGCCAGGTCCGTAAGGCCCTAAAACTACAAGAGATTGGGTCTTTTGGCACCAGAAACCTGAGTCTTTGGAGCTAGACAGAGGTCCAGAGGAGCCAGAGGTTCCGAAGAAGAAATGTGCCCAGCACGGAAGCCCAGATCAGCAGCCTCCCTGGGTAGGGGTGGGGAGCCAGGCTAGGTTCTCCCACTTAGCATTTTAACTTCTCAATGTCAAAATCTTGTCATCAGCAAAACAAAACACCTATTGCTCAATGGCTCCCTCACCACAAAGAAGCCCAGGACTTTCTGGCATTTGATCAACAAGAAGCCAGAGCCCAAATTTCTGGAAATGCCTCCGGGGCAGAGCATCCTGGTTTGTTTTCTCTGTCAACGTCAGGATAAATGCAGCTCTTGGTTTCAGGGGAATCTCAGCCTCTTGTGGCGTGGCAAGCAGCCAGCGCCACCCCAGCTAGGAGCTGCAGCCCTCGTGATCCAGTAGCCCAGAGCGTGGGGAAACAGCCAGTTATGTCCCAGGGAATCCCAGGCTCCCCAGGCCCAGCTCGGGGAGCTAGGGCAGGTGACTGGGGGGCTCCCCTGCCAAAGCCCATTTGGCCACCATCTTTCCTGGCTTCTCACTGCCCAGCCCCCGCAGTGAAGCTGAAGCAAGGGTGTCCCCCTCCCAGGACAATCTGGCTTGAGACCAGGCCAAATCCAACCAGGCTTGAGCAGGTGGAATAAGATCTGATCTCTTGCTTGGGCCCAAGCCTGACTGATTTGCAGAATTTAGGATAGTGACTGGGAATTTAGGAGAGTGACTCCAAAGAAACCCCCAAAGTCGTGTCCTTTCACCTAGGGAAGGCTGAGGCCAGGCTGAGCCCCAATTTCTGCAGCTCCTTGGCAGGTGAGGAAGGGAAGAGCAGGCTGGGGGGGGGCTTGCTGAGCTTGAGAGCCCAGGCCCCACCTAAAGGGCCAACAGGAAGAAGCAGAAGGCAGGCCCACTGCCGAGACAGCGTCCAGTGTTTCCAAAGGAAACCCAGTTTCAGGTGTGGTGTAACATTCCCAGATCTTAAATGTTGTTTCAAAAATTATTTTAAATTCTGTTGTTTTTCAGCCCTGGAGATGGAACTGGGGGCCTTCTGCATGCCAGGCAAATGCTCTTCCTCTGAGCCCTTTTAAAACTTTGCATGGGTCAGGTGCAGAGGCAGGCACCCGTAATCCCATCAACCCAGGAGCCTGAGGCAGGAGGATCACAAGTTCAAGGCCAGCCTGGGAAATTTAGTGAGACCCTGCCTTGTTGAGGGCCACAGCCCAGTGGGGATGACGGGATGATGCAAGGCATTTTGCCAGAAGGGAGTGGTTGAGAGGTGATGCCAGGGAGCCATTGAGATGATGATGGTTATGTTAAGCTGTGTATTCAATTGTATATAGACCTTTACTGTCCCGCAATAGGGCGGCTCTTGCTGTCTTGGGTGCCCGCTACTTTGGAGTTCTCGTTGAGTTCTGGCAGGGTCCGAGAGAGTGCGCACAGAGCCCGCTGGAGGAGAGAGAGTTCCCAGGGAGTGTGTGTGGAGTGCTGGTGGAGTTCGGGCAATAAAGT